ACCACTGATAAAACTGCTATGTCAGCTTTTTCATTTTTAAATCTCTGCGCAAACTTTAGCTCCGCCCCTCTCAAAGTTGCAAAATGCGGCATGGTCATAAAACCAACGACAGCTTTGCAATGTTGATAAAAACTCACTAGCATAGATATTCGGCAATGAGAAATCAATTTTTCTGCTACTGTCCGAGCTGTCCGAATCAGTGTCAACATTCACTGGACTTTCCGAGGTTCGTCCAGTACGATAGGCTTCACATTGTTCCAAATGAATCTTCAGGCCAACCTTTTGGGCATAGCTTTTGCCGCAAGCGCTACATGAATATCTGCAAATGCACAATTGCTTCTAAATCCACGCCAGAATCTACAAAACCTACGGTTTTTCGCCAGTGTGCACACGTTGATGCACTTGCATATTACCTTGATTGGTGAACGACTTATCGCAGAATTGGCACCTTCAAAAGATGTGTATTGATTGATGAGTTGAAAAAGTATTTGAACCCAGATACAAAGTCAGCCCTCTCAAAGATTGGGGTAGGGTTTAGCACTAGATAGAGTATGGCTAATAGCGTCAATTCGTGCGAGGAGGGGGGCATACGGTACTAGCCTAGATCTACCTAAACGGTCGTTCTCCCGTATGTAGTCTGGTGTGCACGTACAAGCTGCTTGCGTAGGCGTATCGCTTGCCGCAGAACTTGCACATGTAGTCCGCTGATGTCGGCGTTGTTGGCAGCTTCTTCTCAAGACCTGTGGCTGGCACGGTTCCCGTTGCGACAGCGGCTGCGGCGGTGGCTGTATTCTGCTGGGTGGATGAGGTTTCGGAAAGCAGTGAAGCATGTGTAGCTTCATGAGCGGTAAGCTGGGATTTCTGGAAATCTCACAATTTTGAGTAGGCCACGCCCACAATTCATTTCAACCAATCATACCTGGATGAAGCTCCGCCCACATGTACCACAAGTGTATGGCCTCTCGCCAGTATGCGTTCTTTCATGCGATTGCAAATTTCCCTGACTAGCGAATGCCTTCGGGCAGTAACTACAGCGATATGGCCGCTCCCCAGTATGCGTTCTAACATGAACCTGGAATTTTGAAAAAATGAGTTGCAAAGTTTCAAGAGAAAAATAAAAATATACCTGTAAGCTTCCAGCATAGGCGAAACTTTTGCCACAAAAACGGCAAACATGTTTCCGTTCATTCTGCTCGTGAACTTGCTTCACATGAAGTTTCAAATAATTTTTCAATGTGAAGGTCTTAGGGCAGAATTCGCACTGAAAAGCGTTTTTGATGAAAGTAAAAGAAGCAAATTATCAAGCTAGATTCATCCTCTTTATTATACTTATGCGCTTACGTACTACATTTACGTAGAAATCTAAGCTCAAAT